GAAAATGAACCTAAGATTGATCCTTATGGATATTGATAAGCTTGCCAAAGAAAAGTGATCATCAAAGAAATCATCGTCAGAATTGTTTATGGTATATATACGCAATACCATTGGAAAACAATTTGACATGCGATTATTGTGTGTAGCTAGGTGTCAGAATTGTTTATGGTATATATAGACATATACCATTGGCAAACAATTTGGCATAAGAGCTCAATTGAGATGATCTTATTGAACTTAAAGTCTGGATTACTTATGGTATATTTATGAGGTTTATACCAATGGAAAGTAATTAGACAATTGAATTAGAAATCTGTTTGAATTACTTGTGGTATATCATGTTACATAGATGAAATGTCATTAGTAAGTAATTAGATGGGATTTCCATTACTGGAATGCATCCGAATTACGTATGACGTCTCAAGTTTCCTTGATCAATACCATTGGTAAGTAATTAGATGATATTTCTAATAAAATCTGAATTGTTTGTGGTATGATAATCTAATTAGATCATACCATTGGTAAACAATTAGATAAGTATAGTGGTTGTCAAGTTCAATAACTAAAAGCATAAAAAATAAATGGAATTATTCCATGAAGTTTTGGCAAAGGGTAGAATTGTGGGGGAGATTAGTTGTTGAATAAACTACTGTCTCAAAATCCTACAATGAGGCATAAAACTATCCATAAAGAAAATGTGGAAAGGTAAACGAAGTCATACTTGAAAGTATGAAGGTGTCCAATGAGAAAGTGAAAGTCCTTAAACCTTGTGGGTTAACCCGGTCCAAGGGTATAACTTATGAGTAAAACCAAGCCTATCTTGACATTAATGTCAGAGATCGAGCTAGTTTGAGAAAATCGATGAAGATTTCTTAGAGATGTCGATCCACTCTTCCCAAAGAGAAAATTATGTCAACTATTATATGCAAATATATGAACAACATTCCCCTAACCGGAAACGTTGGTTTCAACAACTATGGCAAAATAGTTGAAATGTGGGGGATATATTGGGAAGAAGTGAAATGTCGCTTTGGTGATTGCAATTGAAGTGATACTTAGGAGGTTTGTGTAAACTCTAAGATAAGTCGTAAATGTCACTACATTGAAAGAGATACTTGTGCATTTCAAGTACTCTAAGGTTAATGAAGTGGAGAGACTTCAACATTATTGTCATGTGTTAAGATTATTGCTAGGCAATAAAATCAAGGCAAACACACATGATGTGTAGTGAATCGAAAGAGACGAGTCTTTGGTGTATTATAACCAAAATAACTTACCGGATGAACCACAAGGTATAATCCATTGATGGATGTGGATTTATGGTTGATGGGGAGCAGTACCTTGGAAAACATCCAAGTTGACTAAATATATAGCCACTCTAAGACCAGTGAAGTTTAATAGTCTGGCCCGTATAGACTGGCGTTAATAAACGCACTTGTACACAAAATGGTTATTACAAGGGCTAGAAGTATTGTGTGAAAAATCTCGTCGTAGAAACATAACATTATTGACTGGTTAATTTCTAGTGAAGTTATCGGAGATGATCATCTTAGATCAAATGATAACAAACGTGAGGCCTTCCTAGAAATTAATTATAGCATCGAAGGGAATGGACTCGTGGCCTAGGACAAATCATCATGGCGGTAACTCTACCTAAATAGGATAGGCAGACCCAGCCTCTAGGTTCAAGGAGCATACAAAGTTTTGAATGATGGTCCGCATTGTCAAATTATTCAATGTCCATTCTCATGATGAGACAATGTCCAAAATAAGGGTAAACCTAAATATGAAAGGTTTTTAATGGTTTCTAGGTTTGACACGTGGTGTGATCAAATAGCGTATTTTTGGAATACACGTTTAGAAATCACCTATGTGAGTGTGAAGTGGAGCCGCTTCAAGGAGAATAACAGAAGGCCCGTTCTCTAAGCACTCATGAGACCAGGCGATGTTCATGGCTAAAACGAACACAACAATGAGAACCAGTGAACGGATAAGAGTTAGTTGTGTGACATATGTTGTCTTAGTATACAAGCAAAACCGACGGTTTAAAGATATCACATCTACCGATTGGTGAGTATACTCGATATATGTTCACTAAGGAAGGTTCAAAGGGAAACCTACCTACCCCGATGCAACTAATTCTCAGTCGAGAATCACACGATTTTTTGCATAGTTTTTATAGTACAACATTCTCCATTCATGTGGGGGATTGTTGGGGTTTTAGTGGTGTGAATGGAAATGAAAGGGGAAAGTTTCAAGAGAGTCTCTTGGAGTACCATGTTGCTAAGATGTGGGAAGGCACGGCCTTGAATTCGATTAATTTAATATAATATGTGGTTAATCGGTTAAATTGGTTTGTGTACCAAACGGACCAAACAAAACCGAGTTGAACCAAATCGAGCCGAACCGATATGGCCGTTGGAATAACCAAACTGGTCCAACTACCATAGGCCGAACCGATGCAATGGGAAAGGTACGTCCTTTCTATCTTGGGAGGAATCATTCCATAACCTTGGGTACTAGAGGGGAATAAGATTCTTTAGGTAGAGATAGTGAATTCTATCGGCTAGGACGCTTGCATATGTATTTGCATGATTTCATGATCTTATGTGTTTGCTTGTGTTGCAAGAAAAATAGTATACGTGAACAACTTCCACAACATTTCCAAGTGCTAAGAGCCGAAATCGCAAGAGATATCCCATTGTTTTTTCAGGAAAATAGAGGAAACTAATACCCATCGGATATTCTGGAAACGGTATTATTTTTTCCGTATCAGAAACAGACATATGTACTTTATTGTATTTCCTTCATTATATTTGCTTAAATGGTATGTAATGGTCTCAAGGATAAGCTTTAAAGCTAGCAACTATCAAGACTCAAGAGTTGGTTTCATAGGTTTATGATCAAGCAAGTTGTCAACTTTTTAATTTCTTGTTGCTCAACTATTTATTTATGTTGGTTCTGTAACCTTAATGAATCCTCTGCAAGGTACCAACAACTAGCAACATCAAACTTGTTTATGATATATTCAAGCAAAATCTAGTCATTCATTTGTTTAATAATGTACCTTCATGTTTTCTTCATTGCAGTATGGTGATCGATGAGTTTGTTTTATATTTGTGTAATAACTAATTATAAAAAAAAACTCGATGGTTTGGACCGAACAGCCCGCAACCCGACCTGTTGTAACCCGCAATCCAATCAACCCGAACCTGATTGATCCGCAACCCGATCAACCCATAACTCGACTGGTCCGCAACCTGATGAACCTGAACCCGATTTGCTCTCAAGCCGATCAACCCGAACCCGCTTGATCCGCAACCCGATAACCCACGCTCTGCTGCGGCCTAAGATCGATTTTGTTGGAATCATTATTGCACTTAATGATCAACCCGCAATATGGATCCCTCAGTTTCATGCAATAAAGTCATTATCAAACTTTATGAACATCGAGTCGTAGTTTTGGTAACTCTGCAAGTTCTTGTTTAATTGGGATCAGTTCCCATGTCTGTACTATTAGGATACTTAAAGCACGTGGTATTGTAAATTTTAAACCGTATGATTAGGATTTTGTTTGAGAGGGTATGTTAGCACAGTGAGAAAAACGGGCGCAAAGAACCGCCGGCACTGCAAGGTATCGGGTTGGAGGTCAAACTGTGTTGTTTTTCAAATTGGTTTGCGAAATGCGCCTATTTTTTGGTTTTACATTTTCTTTAACTCAATCTTTTGAATTCTAAGTTGGACATTTGAATAATGATGTTATATAAGTGTGTGTGAAATTTCACTATATGTTGGATCCAAGTAAGAGATATGATTTTAGTAGAACGTTATATGTTATTACTCATATATTATATAATTTATAAATGTGCGAGCAATATAACTACTTTATTCATATATCCGGGCTAAAGCGGTCGGACCATAAACTCTCAACCTACTTGCTCGATAAGGCCAACGGGCTAAATTGGATTGACAACCTTGTGACCTCTAGTTGTTCTTTTTTTTATTATTATTTCTGATTTAGATTCTCCCAATTTGATCAACGACGAAAGACGAAATATAAAAATAATACCAGAAAAGGAGTAAACTCTCAACCTACTTGCTCGACAGGGCCAACGGACTAAACCCGATTGATAACCTTGTGACCTTGAGTTGTTTATTATTATTATTATTCTGATTGTTGATTCTCCCAATTTGATCAACAACGAAGGACGAAATAAAAAATAATACCAGAGAAGGAGTAAATGCATTCAAAAAAAAAACAGTAAATGCCATTAGGAAAGAAATGCAAGAGCCAAGAGGTGGAGAATTCATTATCTTCTTTATCAGAAGATGAGGGATTTTTCGACAAAAAAAAAAAGAAGAGGGATTTTTCCACAATATTACCACGTGTTGATTAATAGATGGTAGGTTAAGGAATAACATGACAGTAAGACACTTTAGACAAACTCTTATGAACCAGTAACCACGTTGTTACTTTAATAAGTATCTAGATAATGGGAGATTATTTCCATTCAACAATAATAATTATAATCTTCCTAATGAGGCATTTTAGTGTGCTTTATAGTATTGGTACTATAAAACATTTACAGCCATTAGATTATGTTCAAACTATATCAACCATTAGATTATATTTAAATTATTAATATATTATTTTATTTGTGTGTGGATAACCGGTACAACCGGTTGTCTTCTCACCAATTAAACGAAAGCATCCGGCTCATCGGCGACCTGAACCCCTGACTCGCCGGAGACTCCGCCACCGCCGACGACGACGGCTCTTCCCCGAAATTCCTCCCCGGCACTTCGATCCCCAACTCCCCCCTCGATTTCCGCCCGCCGGCCGACGTGGAAGGCTCCAGCATCTCGATCGCCGGCAGAGGCTCGACCGGCGAGCGGCAGAGCGGACACGTGGAGTGAGAATGGAACCACATGTCGATACACTCGGTGTGAAAGCTGTGCGCACATTTCGGCAGCGTCCGCCCCGCCTCCTTCTCCTCGAATTACGACAGGCAGACGGCGCACTCCGCCGCCGCCGCCGCCACCGCGGCGCCGGAGTAGACGAACACCGGGAGGGATTTCAGGACGGCGGCGGGCAGTCCTTGAGATTCTACTCCGGCTGGGTTCGGGTTCGCCGGATCGACGTACAAGACGAGGTTCTGGCGGCGGCTGCGCATCTGGCGGCGGCGCGCGGGGAGGAGGTACCAGCGGGCGTAGAGGTGGAGGCAGATCATGAGGATGACGACGAAGAAGAGGACGACAATCGCGATCAGCATGATTTTCCCGCTGAGCGCGTAGCTCTGGTCGGAGAAGGAGGGTCTCGAGCCCGGAGAATCCATTAATTGCTGGGCCGTGCAGCGGAAAATGTTGAGTGAGGGGAATAATTGGTAAAAGTAGAAAGGAAAGGAGCGGGAAAGTTGTATCTCAACTGTTCCAGTCACCTTTTCTAGATATGTGAGAACTGGTTCCAGTCACGCCGAGGCATATCTCAAATGTTCGGCCGCACCGATCGTCGAGTCCCCCCGCCGCACCTACCCTTCTCCGCTGTTTCCCACAAAGAGAAGCCTCGCCATTGTTGCTTTGCTCAGCCCTCAGCGTCGACTTCTCCCATACCTCAACTTGTCCCATGGCCTCTTTACCCATTGGCTCAATTGTCGTTTCTGCTTCCCGGTCCGGCCGAGGAACTATGAATCTCCGTTACCTTTTCTGGATATGTGAGAAGAAAGAGGTTGATCGAGAAGAACGATGACTATTCGGTTCTCTTTCCTGAAGCGCCCAAGCATACAGTTTCTTTGTTCCCTCTGTTTTCTCTTATCATTCTGAGCGAAATTCTTCTCCCCAGAGATGGATGACGACTGATTCACCTTCCCCTTTATTCTTCCCAAATTCATTGTCCATTTGAAATGGTATTTTTGTAAGCAATTAAGGAAGGGGAACTATATATGCATGATTGGTTCGTCATCTATTTGCCGACTTTGCTGTCAATTGGGTTCTTTCATAGGCCAAACCACAATCGTCTTTAGATGTATCGATTGGGGTTCCTCAAAATCTCAAAATCTACAATCCGAGTGATCCAAGGGCCACAATCCAACATTGTATTGAAGCGTTTGGAGAAGAGAAAGACATCTCCTACAAGGGTAAACAAGTTCTTTCTCCATGTGCCTTATGTTTAGTTCTTAACAAACCCCATTAAAGTTCAGTTCCTAAAGTTAAGTTTTGGTTGTTGATTTATTCAATTGCCGAAGCAAGTGCTAATGTGTACGCTTGAATCTTTAGTTCTAGGTGGAGATGATGAAGTTTCTGTAAGTTTGCTTGAGAAACCCTTTTAACGATGAGAGTTCTTATTCATGGGAATGACAATAATTGTGTGTTGGTTGCTGTGGGGGAATGACAAGATTGTTGTTATAGAAATGACAAGATGAAGCGTTAGGCTACCTTGATAGTTTAACAGTGTATGCAGGGTTGAACGTGAAGGTACTGCATCATTTTTATATGATGCTTTGGATTGTTCAAGTGATCGTGTACCCTTCTTATGGAGGAATTAAATTGTGAGGCATCTTCTTAAAAATAAAAATTGTGGCAAATGAATCCAAAAATGCAACCCCTGTACTTTCAGCCTCAATTGTGTTGGTAAGGTTTTGTCATTTCCGCTGCACCAACTCCTCTCCTCACGTCAGACCATAAAGCCTTCATTCGGCATTTGATCATCAAGTAAAACAAATGAACATTATGGATTTGTCATCCTAAACAAGTTATTTTCTCTAAGATAACATATATTATGCTATTATTTTATATCTTAGTGGTTAAAATATATTATAATTTAAAATTATTGAATGGTTCAACCTCGACCAACCCGATCAGTCCAATTTTTATCATTTTAAATATATATTATGTAATTATTTGATATCATAATGATTAAATTATAGTGTATTTTATAGGGAATCGTTTGGTATTTGTTAGTAAAAAACTAAACAAAAAGATCCATTTGATTATTTTTAACATTAAAACGATCATAAAGATTTCCAGTTTCCTTTCGAATTTCTATGGTTTTGTTCCCGAAGCAGTGATTGCTAATAGCGATCGAATTGCAATCATATCTTTTTTCACTATATTTTCAATTAGAAAGTTTGAAAGTAAAGAATAATTGGAGTTTGGCATGGGGTCGGTCAAACAGGCTGAATTTCAAATTTTAGCCCGTCTTGATCAAGTATAATTTATAATCACATGGTTCCCTGACACCCGATAAAAATCTCAATCCAAACCATTTCGGCAGTTGAATGACGGTTCCTATCCCAAATCGTGTTGTTCGTTCTTGATTTCTTTAGATTTTATCTTGGTCTGGCAAAAACCATAAAACACAATAATGACAAGCTAGCAACGATTGTGAGATGCTCATTCTCGAAGATCGGCGGGATAGGCGATTTTTTATTCGGTTTTCTCGAATTCGGTTTCTATAGAACTTACTCTACCTCATCATATTACCAGAAATAATACTGATTCACAAGGTACTCTAACTTGGTTCATAAAGCTGATTTTTTATTCGTTGCATCATCCATGCCTTTTTCCTATTAAAATTCACTATTTTTATCATTTGTTTCCAAAAAAACTACACAACAATAAGCTATACACCCCATTACATTCTCAAATTTCATACCTCACTTTCCGGCCAATTGCCCGCTCCACGCTAGTATATAATGAAAATTCATGTCTCCAGTTTTCATGATTTTGAATTTGCTGGCCCCGGAGGCCCGGACTCCCGGAGCACTTCGCGGAAGGATATTTCTGCCATTGTACCATCAACTTAATTATGCTGTGCGTTTTGTTATATGTACCGTAGCCCAAACATAGCTATGTTCGTGGGGCTTTGCTCTTCGCAAATTTGGGCCGGAATTGGGCTTTTTGGGCCTTCCCCTATCAGCAAAGACTCCATCTGTCCATAATCTTTACACCCTGGACTGTTGTTTGGGACCGGAAGCACATAGGGGAAATTGGATTTTTCTGTTAGCCTTTGTTCAGTTTCTAAGAAATAGAATCATATTTGGTCTGCTGTTCATTGTTCCCCATCGTTGATCCTCTAATCTGGCCGCTTCATCTCCTCTAAGTGTTGTAGGAACGGATCTTGACCACTCATATTAACGTAACAAGATAGAGTTTAGAAAGAAATTTAGATTGATGGAGAAGAAAATTGGGCATAATTGGATGATTTAGAAGTGAGATTATGGTTTTTGAAAGAGACTAGAGAGAAGAGGGATAATTCTAACCATACTTTGCTCAGGTTTTTCATTCCTATCCCTAATGATAGAACTAAAGTACATTATATAGATGCTGACTAGAAACCCTAATCGACTAAACCTACTAAAATACTAAACTACCCTTACACACTAATCATACCCGCAACAATCCACCCCTCTTGAAAGCGACATTGTCCTCAAGGTCGTAGTAAAATCCGTTGTTTGCCCTTGCCTTTGGCGCTCTATGTTGGTTCAACAATGGTTTACACTTCCTCTTCCTCCAATCACGTTCCAGCACTCGAACAAGACTCCTAGCACCAGCAACTCCTATCCATGCTTCTCTTAAGGTACTTGGAATTAAGATGTACCTACAATTTCTAGAGTTGTACCTTTACACTAAACTTAAAGTTGTACCTACACTTTCCTAAAAATCTTCTATGGTACAATTCACAATTGTACCTATACACTATGGTACAACTTAATGTTATACCTACACTTTCTAACAAATCTCTTTATGGTACAACTAAAAATTGTACCTATACTAATGGTACAACCTTAAGTTGTACCTACACTTTCTAATAAATCTCTTATGGTACAACCCAAACTTGTACCTATACTAATGGTACAACTTTAATTTGTACCTACACTTTCTAAAAATCCTTCTATGGTACAACCCAAACTTGTACCTATACCATGGTACAACTTTAAGTTGTACCTACACTTTCTAATAAATCTCTTTATGGTACAACCCAAACTTGTACCTATACTAATGGTACAACTTTAATTTGTACCTACACTTTCTAAAAATCCTTCTATGGTACAACCCAAACTTGTACCTATACCATGGTACAACTTTAAGTTGTACCTACACTTTCTAATAAGTCCCTTTATGGTACAACCCAAAATTGTACCTATACTAATGGTACAACTTTTAGTTGTACCTACACTTTCTCCAAATCATTCTATGGTACAACCCAAACTTGTACCTATACCATGGTACAACTTTAAGTTGTACCTACACTTTCTAACAAATCCATTTATGGTACAACTAAAAATTGTACCTATACTAATGGTACAACCTTAAGTTGTACCTACACATTCTCAAAATTCTTTTATGGTACAACCCAAACTTGTACCTATACAATGGTACAACTTTAAGTTGTACCTACACTTTCTAACAAATCCTTTTATGGTACAACTCAAAATTGTACATATACTAATGGTACAACTTTAAATTGTACCTACACTTTCTAATAAATCTCTTTATGGTACAACTCAAAATTGTACCTATACTAATGGTACAACCTTAAGTTGTACCTACACTTTCTCAAAATCCTTCTATGGTACAACCTAAACTTGTACCTATACCATGGTATAACTTTAAGTTGTACCTACACTTCCTAAAAATCCTTCTATGGTACAACCCAAACTTGTACCTATACCATGGTACAACTTTAAGTTGTACCTACACTTTCTAACAAATCCCTTGTGGTACAACTAAAAATTGTACCTATACTAATGGTACAACCTTAAGTTGTACCTACATTTTCTCAAAATTCTTTTATGGTACAACCCGAACTTGTACCTATACCATGGTACAACTTTAAGTTGTACCTACACTTTCTAACAAATCTCTTTGTGGTATAACTAAAAATTGTACCTATACTAATGGTACAACTTTAATTTGTACCTACACTTTCTAATAAATCCCTTTATGGTACAACCCAAAATTGTACCTATACTAATGGTACAACTTTTAGTTGTACCTACACTTTCTCCAAATCTTTCTATGGTACAACCCAAACTTGTATCTATACCATGGTACAACTTTAAGTTGTACCTACACTTTCTAACAAATCCCTTTATGGTACAACTAAAAATTGTACCTATACTAATGGTACAACCCAAACTTGTACCTATACAATGGTACAACTTTAAGTTGTACCTACACTTTCTAACAAATCCTTTTATGGTACAACTCAAAATTGTACCTATCCTTATGGTACAACTTTAAATTGTACCTACACTTTCTAATAAATCTCTTTATGGTACAACTCAAAATTGTACCTATACTAATGGTACAACCTTAAGTTGTACCTACACTTTCTCAAAATCTTTCTATGGTACAACCTAAACTTGTACCTATACCATGGTACAACTTTAAGTTGTACCTACACTTCCTAAAAATCCTTCTATGGTACAACCCAAACTTGTACCTATACTAATGCTACAACTTTTAGTTGTACCTACACTTTCTCCAAATCCTTCTATGGTACAACCTAAACTTGTACCTATACCATGGTACAACTTTAAGTTGTACCTACACTTTCTAACAAATCCCTTATGGTACAACTAAAAATTGTACCTATACTAATGGTACAACCTTAAGTTGTACCTACACTTTCTCAAAATTCTTTTATGGTACAACCCGAACTTGTACCTATACCATGGTACAACTTTAGGTTGTACCTACACTTTCTAACACATCCCTTTATGATACAACTAAAAATTATACCTATACTAATGGTACAACTTTAAGTTGTACCTACACTTTGTGAAACAAATTCTTCAATGGTACAACTGAAACTTGTACCTATACTATATGGTACAACTCTAATTTGTACCTACACTTGTATACATTGATTCATTATTTACAAGATTGCCATTAATGATGTGGGACCAGTCATTTAGTGGGTTTACCTCCTCAACATGTCACCTTTTTTTTTGTTTTTTATAGCATGGGTGCTATAGAGTACACTAGAAGGGCTCCTTCCTAATACCCAAAGGGCTCCTTCCTAATACCCAAATCTCCTGCTCTCTCTGCCGTCCAACCCTTTCCCTCCCTCTCACTGCTGAATATTTCTCCTATCTTCCCAACTCTTCCGAGGTAGGCCAAACACTGATTGGTCCACCAATCTAAATCCCTAATCTCCTTTCTGAATTGCCCCAAACCCCTTTATTTCTTGCACCATGGTACAACAGCTTTTAAATACATCATATATTCGAAACTTAAAACCCTTATTTTCAAATCCAAGCTAAAAAAGACGGTTAACATATCTGCCTAGCACTCAGCTCATATAAGCAAATAATATACCAGACAAGATATACCATGATGCGAAAAAGACCTACGGAGAAAATTGACAATTGTGCAATCAGTACGTTTTCTCCGCCAACAATACGACGTAAGAGAGTTCACACTTGAAAGATGGGTGTTTCCACCACGTAAAGGAAGTTACTTGGTTTTATTTGAACTCTCCAATCTCAAAGATCCTGGCAGTACCATCGTCTGAGGCAGTAACCAGAAAATCATGGTTAGAGCTCACTGCCAAGGACTGTACGCAGCTACTATGCCCCTTGAATGTTTTCACCTTGTCTCCAGATCGGCCGTCCCATATAACTACATCCCCATCTCCACATCCTGCAGCCACGTACCTCGACATGCCTATCCATGTTAAGCAGGTCACTTCACTCTGCATTATCAGCACGTAACATCCTTACAATTAGACCGGGTTTGCCAAAGCAGATCACACACAGATCACCAAACGTAAACAAACTGTAAGAGAAAAAGAGGAAGATAAGCAGACCTCATGATTGCATATGTTACGAGCATCTGAACGTTCCAAATCCCAGATAACAAGTTGCTGATCTCTGCCTCCAGTTGCCGCCCAAGGGAAACTGGTCCAATGGATTCAGGAGGATGTTGGATTAAAAAAGAAGAGAACTAAAATGAAGATTCCTTTATTTTGCTTATATTAATTCATCACAACCAAAATGTTTTATAAGGTCAACTAGCTTGTGTGAAGCTTCTTGTCATTGGCATACCTTGATGAACGTGACAGAGCAATGCATGAAACTGAATCTGTGTGTCTAGACAAAGTACTGACCACCTGTCGATTAAGAAAATACTGAAAATGGTGAACCATAGTGTGCTAACAGGTGGAAGATGAAAATTTCATTAGAGGTATGAAAAAATTGCCCTACCTTCCCAGTCACTATGTTCACAATTTTCACAGAACCATCCTCAGAGCCAGTAAGAACAAGAGTGGAATCAGAGCTAATAGCCAAGCAATTTAATCTTGCAGTATGATATGGATGGCCTAGCAGGAGAGAATTTTTGCTAGTCAGGTCATAGAAGTGTCTAACAGAAAAAAGCAAGATAGAGTGAAATACTGGTGTGCAGAGAAAAGAGGCCACAGATAGAGCCCAAGAAGAAGTCTCCTAAGCATCCAAAACAGTGACATAAGCATCAGTTAACTACTACAATAGCAGTCAAAATCTTTTCTCGTCATTGGATATTACTTTCAAAAGCAATAAGTTTTAATGTGCCTGTGAGGACATCAGAGATCAAAAAGTAAGCACACAATAAATCTCAGTCTGAACATTTGCCTATGTTACCTTTTATGACATATACACTCTCCCCTGTTCTTGGATTCCATATTCGCAAACTCATATCATCCGAACCAGTGCAGATGGTTTTGCCTTCATCAATCAAAGAAAAGGAAGCATAATTCAGAGAGGCAACTCCTATGACAAGCAAGGAATTTTTTATTTATTCAATAATTAAAAAAAAAGCATGAAAAATATCCGTATACCATCAGGTGTGAAATCTCCACAGGTAACTGGTTTACTGTGGCCAAGAAATACTTGGAGGACAGCACCTCTATCCGCGTTCCACATCCAAGCAGTGCCATCATTTGAGCCCGCCAAGACTAGATGACCTCTAGGATGCCACCTGACCCACTGTGAAACTAAGTAACACAATTAGTCTCGTTACAAATAATAATTAATAATAGCAAGTATGCTATCAGATATACAGAGCCAACACACCTCAAACCCGTCTGCATGTTCCTCCGTTTGCTCACTCACAGCAGGCCCTTCAAGCGTACATTTACGATTTCCAGATGTATCCCAGACATTAACTACAGAATCAAGGCCCCCGGATGCAAGAAACTGTCCATCGCTACTAAATGCCAAGCTAGTAACGGTATCCTTATGACCTTCAACAAATAATAATGAAAAAAGCTTCAATGACGAGAGTGTAATGGATAGACTATGATCTGATAAATCCACAGATCATGAACCAAGATAAAGTATCAGTCAAAGGGGACATGGAGGTTAAGCAATTCATGCACTATGTATATACCTCCCATTTCAGCAGCCCAATCTCCTTGTCCTATCTTCCAAAGAAATCCTCTATCATCACCACCCCCAGTTGCTACCAGCAAAGGATCTGTTGGGCTGCAGGCAACTGCATAAAGTTCAGCTGCACAAACAGAGAAGCATGAAATAAGAACTCAGTGATAAACTACAACCACTTATTGCATGGCAGAATCCATAAACTCATCCAATGAGGGTTTGCATGACAGAACGCATGACAGAAAAAACTTGAACTTAGCTAGATTTTTCAACAATCCCCCTTACACGTGTGGCCTGTGAACGTGTGCATAGAATCATCCAGATCCTCTGATAGCAACAACAATACAAGAATTGTAGTTAGAACCAAACCGACCAACTTGTAGATTAAATTTAGATTGTAGTAAGAAAAATGATATCACAGCAACTGAAGCCCAGTAAGTAAAATTACCGTCGAAATCAGCCTGTTCATCGTCTTCATCATTGACATCAGGAAGATCTGCAAGCAAGTGATTCATAAACAAGAAAGCAGAGTAAAATCCTGGTAACAGCAACACACATTAGGTCAACAAAGCAGTACCTTCATCATCAAGGGTAATCTCATGGATTGTGTCAGCATCGTGGATGTAGATCTCTCCATCATCACTCATGTCACCATCCATCATCTTCCTGGATGAGTAAAACATGTAAGCAACGCCAAACTTCTAGGTGGAATACACTTCACCACAAGCCAGAAGATTATTGAACTGAACTTAGAAACAAAAATATAATGCAAACAAAGAACTTTTTCTATAATACACTTCCAAGTGAATTCCCATTTTCCCGACATTTTTCAGTTTGAAGCAGATGCACCACCATCACCGATGAACATAATGAGAAGTTGCCATTAAATTATCCAGATTTTTCTACCCAGCATATCCAAAGAGCATAACATTGCGAGATTTTGCTGTTCCGTGAACTCACTAGCAACAAATCTTAAGCACAAAAGGTCCCAAAACTTAAAGGTGCAACCTGCAGGAAGCATGGATTATAGCCAATGAAAGAATTGCTCTTGCTGAACAACTTTAGAGTACGCTTAACGAGAAAGATGACAAAGCAGAGACTGAAGCTGAGTCTCTGTGGCAAGCTACTGCCGAGTTGGGGGAGGAGAAAGAAGTAGAGGAACAAGGAAGTAGATTGGAAGGCGTTATTGAGAAAGAACAATTAGAAGAAACGCGAAATGGTGTTGGATGAAACTTGCGAGCTGAAAATAGTGAGACTTAGAGAGAAGCATGAATTGCGTTGTGTTGGGACGTTACAAACTCGATGAGATTAGAATGATGAAGTACGCAGCTTCTGGATGGGTTGTAAAAGTGCTTTTCACTTTAAATGGTTACAGGGTTTTCGTCGGCATCAGGCGGTGGCCGGAAGCGTGAAAGAACCATGGCCTACACTTTGATTAAGCATCTCTCCGCCATTGAAGAGATAAAAGATTAACGTCAAAATTTGGAAAATCAATCTCTGCAATTTAAGGCGGCGGAAAATTTTACACAAAGGATAGAGAATTGAACTTGACAGGCTTCCTACTTTACTGCAAGAGCAGACGCCATAGTTTCCTACTGAAGTATGTGGGATCACTGGGATGGAGATGGAGAGATTATAACTTACGAGCTTGCGGCGGCGAACTTTGAAGATAGGGGATGAATTGCAGTACCCGCTGATGGTTGCGCGGAGGAGAAGGGAGCAAGCGAGGTATGGAGGGCTCAGGGCCAGGGGAGAACTGAAGTGAATGGAAGCGAGAACCGTAGGATAACCACAACAAACAACTACAATCACTATCCCTACTCCATAATAAAATGAAATTCCAAACAACAAATTAACAACACACAACAAATAAATTCAACTAATCCACATAAAACCATCTGCTAACAAAATAAATTGCAAAAATAGAAGAAGAAAAAAAAGAACAGTGGACTTACTCGTCGGTTCGTCGAGTTGTGGCTGGAGGGGAGTTGCTGGCCGTAGGGGAGAGAAGCAGGAGGCTGGGAGGAGCAGCCGGCTGGGTCTCGCAGGGGCGCGTCGCCTCGGCCGTCGTTCACCTCGAAGAAGCTGGGAGGAGCAGGAGGCTGGGAGGAGGAGGAGCAGCCGGCGGAGAGAAGCTGGGTTGGCGGGGAGAAGCTCGGCGAGAAGCTCCAGCCGCCTCGACAAATCCCGGCCGCCTCGACAAGTCCAGCTCGGCGAGAGGAGAAAGAGATGCTGGCTGCGGCAGTGCGGCTGGACTTAGGGTTTTGTTATGCCAATTGAAACGGAAAAAAAAAATAATAAATGCGGTCGCTAGGTCTCGAAGAGACAATCTCATTAATGAAAACGGAAGAAAACCCGTCCTCTACCTTCAGGGAAAACCAATTTTTTCGTTTTCGTCAATTACCTCTTTTTCTTGTCATTCGGTTGCCATTAATGAAAATGACAACAAAAATGAACACGTTTCCTCTTCTTTGTTTTCAAATTTTTGTTTTGACAACAGAAAACAGGAAACGAAATGGAAAATAAACAGGCCCTTAGGTTTCTGTTCGACGTGCAAACAACCCATGGAGAGCCCAGATAGAGGTTCAAGACGACCCGGATTGAGAGAGGACGAGGAATCCAAACTGCTCAGTTATGTGAGCCCAGCCCAAGGCGGCTGAATTTTGGACGGAAAGCATAACACTCTAAAATACTAAAATTTGGAAGAGATGCTAACATTTATGAATGTTAATACTTTGTACTGTAGATTAACCAGAGTCAATTATAGATATTTATGAATGGCCCCGGTTTTACTCATTTGTTTTTTGCCGATGATTTGGTTCTTTTTGCAGAGGCTTCAGGATTCCAGATCAGGGCGATCAGAACGTGCTTGGATGAATTAAGGTACAATTCGGGGCAGCGGGCCAATTATGCTAAATCCATTATATATGTCTCCCCAAATATTGGCACAGCTAGGACACAAAGATTGAGTGACAGGGCAGCCATCCCTCTGGCTGAGGAGCTTGGGAAATATTTAGGCATTCAGACCATTCATGGGAGAGTGACTAAGAGCCGGTATCATGATTTGGTTTTGAAGATTCGGAAGAAACTGGCACCCTAGAAGGCGAAGCGCTTATCCTTGGCAGCGAGACTCACGGTGACTCGTTCTATATCCATTTCCATCCCCATCTATACAATGCAAACTGAATTGATTCCTATGAATGTTTGCAATTCAATTGACAAGATTAACAGGGATTTCGTTTGGGGCAAGGACGATAATCAAGGGAAATTACACCTGGTGGCGTGGGATAAGCTCCTGGAGCCAAAAGCCCAGGGTGGAGGTGGACTCAGATCCCTTCGTCAAGCGAATCTCTCACTGCTGGCCAAAGGTGGATGGAGGTTGCTGCAAGAGAAGGATACTCTCTAGACTCAGCTTATCCACGCAAAGTATGGCAGGCAGATGGAAGGGCTTGATATGCCTCAACCAATTCAGGGAAGTTCCTTTGCTTGGAGGAGCTTTTACAAGGCTTCTGACCTTCTTAGGAAGGGTTGTGCGTTTAATTATAGGTGTCAAAACATAGCCCAACCCGATTAACCCGCCCGATCAACCCGACGTGCAACCCCGACCGCAACCCGAATTGACTAAAAGTCAACAACCCGTAACCCGCCCGACCCGCAACCCGATTGACCCGCAACCCGACTGACCCGCAACCCGATTAACCCGAACTCGACTGACCCGCAACCCAACTAACCCGAACCCGACTGACCCGCAACCCGACTGACCCGCATCCCAATTAACCGAACCTGATTGACCCAAACCCGACTAACCCATAACCCAACCGACTCAACCCGAACTTCATCTAATCCACTTGAATAATTATTATAAAATACAATACATAGTTTTTCAAAATAAAGTTTTTCCCGTAACCCGACTGACCAGCATCCCAATTAACCCGAACCTGATTGACCCGAACCCGACTAACCCGTAACCCGACCGAATCAACCCGAACTTCATCTAATCCACTTGAATAATTATTATAATATACAATACATAGTTTTTCAAAACAAAGTTTTTCATTATGAACTTAAGTAAAATTATTTTTTCATTTCGTATAGGGAATTTAAAAATATGAAACTTACTTGATATTATGTATTTTAAGAAAATTACAAAAATTGAAACATGAAGGTCACCTGAAAATTACAAAAATTGAAACATGAAGTTCTTTAACAAAATTAAAAAAGTAAATATAAAATATAAAATCAACATAAGGTCGATATTAATTATGAAGAATCAATAATTGAGATCATGGACAATATTAATATAATATATAAATTAAAATTTTGGTTAATTAAACTATTCAATAAAACTATCAATTAATATAAATAAAGTAAAGTAATGTATTTGGTATTTTGATGTTTTTAAAAGAAGAGGAAAATTTGGATGTATTCAACTTTTTGGGAAGAGAAAGAAGAGGGAAATTTGGTTCTTTGAATTTTTTAGAAAAGAAACAAATCGGAATTTTGGTTGTTTTGATTTGTGGGAAGAGAAAGAAATGGGAAAAAGTTTGGTTCTTTTGATTATGAAAGAGAAATAAAGAGGGAAATTTTGAGTTTTCAACTTTTTGTAGAAGGAAGAGGAAAATTTTAGTTTTTTTTTTGTGAAAAGAAAGAAAGAAACATATTTGGTGTTTTCAATTTTTTGGTTTTTCAAAATTTTAGCCTTTGAAAGGCTAATATAGGGTGTATATGGTTAGGGCATAAAGTATACGGTTAGGGCATGACTAGTAATCTTTGACGGTTCGTTGTTTAGAGTATAAAGTATATGGTTAGGGTATAGGGTATAAGGTACGGATGGTTTAGGGTGTATATGGTTAGGGTATAGGGTATAAGGTACGGATGGTTTAGGGTGTATATGGTTAGGGTATAAGATATTGATGGTTTTGACGGTTCTAAGTTTTTTTATTATTATATGTTCACTTGAAGTCATTTGAAGTCTTTAACGGCAGAAGATCCCTTTTTAATTTATGTTTATGGTACGTGGTTAGGGTGCAACGTATGTGGTGTAGAGTATAGGATATATGGTTAGGTTATAGCAATTAGCAAATATCACTTTTTATCTATGTTTTGAAAATCAAAGTATGAATTTCACTTTGAAATTAACTATACTACCAAAATCACAACTCAAGGACATATGGTTATGGTATAGGGTATGTGGTTAGTGTATAATGTATTGATGGTTTAGGGTATACAATCAACAACATATACTAACTTAATATTGTTGATTGAGGGTAAGGCTAAGTGTATAAGATATATGTTATTGAGTAAGTCATGATTGAAGTCACAATAATTTTACTAAATTTGATAGTTAATCTTTAATGGTTCAATTTTTAGGATAATTCGAACAATTTTACAAATAACTCGTTTGACAACAATTTACTGAAGTTATTTGGGCAATGAGTTATTTCGAAATAACTCCTTTTATCACTCTTCTTTTGCCAAATACCACACGCCAAATACCAGATTTGCATGGTTATACTAAACGAGATACTTTAATCCAATTACTACTGAATTAATACAAAAATATCAAATAAACAATTAATGGTGTCTTTTGGTTGCAAATATTGATATCACCATTACTATTAGCTAGTGTACTTTACCAATTATGATTAATTACATAACAAGTTTGCAAGTAAAACAAATTGATTTAACATTTTGACTAGTTTTTTTCAAAAAATTAAGTATATATATATGAGGTAGAAATAAATTGGTTAAAAAGTTGAGAAAATATCTTAAATTAGTGTAATAAAATGTGTAAGTTGGTAACGAGTAATGAGTAAGTTACTCGATGCGTTGGCCCGAACAACCCGATCCGCCCGCAACCCGTCCGACCCAAAGCCCGATGAACCCGCAACCCGATTGAACCCGAACCCGATGAACCCGCAACCCATTTGAACCCGATGAACCCGAACCCGATGAACCCGCAACCCGACTAACCCGCAACCCGTTTGAACCCGAACCCGATTGAACCTAGCCCGAACCCGCCCGATTGACACCTATACGTGTAATATCCATAATGGTCGGCGGACTAAGTTTTGGCTTGACACTTGGATTTTGCAGGGCCTCTTTTGGAGGTGGTGCTTCAGCCAATTTCAAACGAGATGCGACTGGAGACGGTTGTTGATTATCTTGACATGGATGGGAACTGGGATGTCAGCCGACTCTCTCCTTGGCTTTCAACCGAGGTCCTACAGAAGATTACAGTTGTGAAGGTGGACGTGTTGTCCCCCGATGATGACACCATTTTCTGGACCGCGACTGCCAATGGCCACTTCTCTACTAAGTCAGCTTACCAGCTGCTGCAGTCGAGACCGACGGATCAGGACGAGAGACTGTGGAAGAAGATTTGGAAACTTGCTGTCCTGGAGCGGGTTACCTGCTTTGCTTGGCTTGCTGCAGGAGGAAGGATCGCCACTAATTGCCTTCGGTTCTCTAGGAAGTGTGCTAACTTCCCGGCGTGTGCTCGATGCCAGGATTGTCCTGAGACTATTAGCCACATCTTGCGAGATTGCCCTCCAACCAGATACTGCTGGTCGAGATGGGTTCCCTATGATCGTCAACACACGTTCTTCTCCAACGAGGGCGAGGTATGGCTTCACAGCAACCTGCAGAAAGACGACCCCAGGGGAGACCGTATGCCTTGGAATGTTTTCTTTGGTATTGATATCTGGCTAATTTGGAAGAACAAGTGCATGTTTTGCCTAGAAGGTGCTCACAAGGCCTTCACCGCCCCTCCCTAGCTCACTCTATTGAGCACAAAGCCAACCTGTGGCATAAGGCGTGGCTCACTCCGTCGCTCCAGCAAGGCAGAGGGGGTCGCGAAGCTAGGCGAGAAATGGCGCAAATCAGGTGGCATCCCCCTCCCCATGGGTGGATGAAATTAAACATTGATGGAGCTTCGGCGGGCAATCCGGGGCTTGCGGGCTCGTGTGGTGTCATCCGAGATTATCAGGGTCAGTGGATTGCGGGCTTTGTGGCGAAAATTGGAGAAGCTTCGGCTGCTCTGGCTGAGGTTTGGGCTTTCCTTCATGGTTTAACTCTCGCGTGGAAGTATGGATGTACTAATCTGGTGATTGAGTCAGACTCTCAACTAGCCATCCAGCTGATTGAAAGTCGCAGGGATCCTATTCACCCTTATGCTTCTCTTTTGAGCTCGATTCGCATGGAATGCATTTGATATTTTGTGGTGGACATTAGAGTAATACTGGTAT